ATGAACATGCAGACGTGTGCTTGGCCTGCATGATGTTTCTGTTTGGTTAAGAAAATGAGAGCTTCGTTGTGGCCTTGGGGAATCCCTGTTGATCCTACTCAGAGGGTTCTGTTGAGGAGCCCCTGCTCATCTCCGATGCTTTGCTGTTGCCACCCTTTCCTGCCAGGGTGAAGAGGGTGACAAGATAGCTGCTAAGGCTATCGCTGACCCCGAACGGTTTGTGCTGAAGCCACAGCGAGAAGGTGGAGGTATGAGCTGGAGCGGGTCTGCATGGGTTTTCGTTGCGGTTTGTGCTGTATCCAGGAGAAGCAGTAGCTCTGTGATTGTCCCTGATCCTTGGTCCTGTGCTGAGGGATAGAAGGAGGGGTGGGGTGGCTGGTAGCCACTTGCAGCCATGGGGACTAGTCATGGCAGTAAGGTAGTGCTGCTTCTGGAGGAGGTCTCTAGGCCCGAGCTGGGGTGTGGGGAGCCCAGGCAGCACCTGGGGAGGCAAAGGCTGGGTCTGTTTGGGGCCAACTGCACAAATAGGGCCAACGACTTCTGCTGTGCTGGGAAGTGCTTGACCTGCTGGGTTTTTTGCCAGGGAACAATCTCTATGGTGAAGAGCTTAAGCAGGTTCTGGAGAAGATCAGAGACAGCCCTGAGAGAACCTCCTACATCTTGATGGATAAGATCAAACCACAGCCAGCTATGAATTACTTGCTGAGGGCTCACAGTCCCCTACAAGTGTCTGAGTGCATCTCGGAGCTCGGTATTTTTGGTGTCTACGTCAGGTGAGAAACATGCTTGTGTTACAGAGTGGTTACCCGCTCCAGCCGGCACTTGGGATGGGAGTGTTTTCCCCTCTGCACTGAGCACAGCAGCAGGGCAAATGTCTCTGGGGAGGTGGAGGTACAGGGGACAGATGTGACCGTTGAGTCTCTGCCCCTGTCAGCAGCTCTGTGAGCACTGTTCAGGCGCTGAACTGCTGCTCTGTACCTGCTGCCAAAAGAGTTGTTGAAAAAACGCAGAGCTGGTGCTGGTGGTTACTGGTGTAACAGTCATGTGGAACTGGGGTGTCTCATCCCTGATTTCCGGAGGTACTTCTTGGGTTCTGAACGCAGCTGCACACTTCTCTGAAGCCCTGGTGATCTCAGAAATATCTGAAGGCTTAATGGAGTTGTGTTCAACCCTAAATACCTGCTGCTTTTGTTTAAAACCCTCTTAGGCCCATAGAAATGTTTCCATGGCCTATAAATTAAAGTCCTCCTCATACAATTTTAGAAACAAATGTACTCTGGCCGTGTTCACAACCTGCCACTACCTGTGTGCAGAGCAATCAGACTGAAATGGCCCTGCTGAGAAAGGCACTCGCTGGCAAGCACAAAACAGGTGCAGCTCCATTGTCCGCAGAGCCCCGAGGCCTCTGCATTAGCCTGGGACCTTTTACATGCCATTGCCTGCCCTGCGCTGTGGCCGGGAACATGACTTAAAGTGTCCAAGATGGTAGAAATGCCAGAAGCTTTCTGGTCTGCAGGTGCTCAGTTGCCCTTTTCTTTGCAGACAGGGCAAGGAGATGGTGATGAACAAGGCTGCTGGCCACCTCCTGCGGACGAAGGCGATCGAGCACGCAGATGGCGGGGTAGCGGCCGGGGTGGCAGTGCTGGACACCCCTTACTTAGTGTGAGGAGGCGATGCCACATCTTGCTCTGCTGCCCAGAGAGCTGATCTGCCACAGGGGTGTTCTCCTTGGGGTGCGCTTACCATGGTCTTATGTGCTGGGGACTCTGTGGACACGACTGTTCAAATGTCCTGGCCTGCCAGCCCCAGCTTCTCCTCTGCAATTGGGACTCCCTTGCTGTGCCTGCTTAGGGGTCCTTGCCCCACACCCATCCCAAGCTGTGACCTCCTGGGACTGCATTGGTCTGGGTATTCCCTTGGGGTCTAGCTTGTGGGCAGGGGTACAGCAAAGCTGAAGGCTGAGTGTGCCAGGCCAGGCACCTGTGCTGTTCCTGATTTTGTGCTCCTTGATGCTACATTATTTCCAGAGACATATAAACCCAAAGCCTAGGGCATGGGAGGAGGAAGATGGATGTGTGGCTCAGTGCTTTCCAGGTTAAAGAGGGGAGCCCTGCTCCACATGCCCAGGGCCCCTTCAGCCCTGCCTCTGGTGCTGCTGCTCCCATTTCTACATATCCCTGTGCCTGAGGGTCCTCATGGCTTCTGTGCAAGGGACAGCTGCCCTGGTGTAATTTGCCCAAAGGCCTTTTGCTTTGCCCACTTCCTCTTTTGTTGGATCAGGTACTCATCCCAAACAGTGCCTCTGCATGATGCAAGGCAGGGCAGGAGGGCTGCATCTGCTCCCCTTGCCTCCTGCAGCCTTGTCCAACAGGTCCCCCAGCCTGGCATAAGAATCCCTCAACAGTGGTAGCAGATCCCAGCATGATGGTGAATTGGAGCCTTGTGTTGCAGCCAACATGTTGATTAACCCCAGTGCCTCCCCATGCACCGAGCATCTCTGCCTCCTATGCCATGGCACATATAGCCCAAGAGCAGTGTCAGGAAGACCTGACTGCAGCAATGGTCCTTCTGGGATGCTGAGACTGGGAGCTTTGGGGCGAGGAAGCAAAGGAAGTGCAGGAGAGGCTGAGCCAGCCCAGCCCCAGCTGCCAAGGGCTTCACTCTGGGACCAGCAGCGGCAGATGGCAAGAAGCATCTCCAGCCAGGTTTCACGAACTGGTGGGAACAGTGCAACAGCAGAGGGATAGGGAGGAGTGGGGGCTTTTCTTCCCCAGGTCTTCTGTCTCTTCCTCCACTCCCTCTTCTTCCTCACAGGAGCAGTTCAAGGGGAGATATAAAAGATGCAGTGCACTGGCAGCTGCTGCTCTACCCTTTTGGTGACACCAGAAAGGAGCAGTGTAAGGCCAATGAATGCACCGATTGACAGGCCTGCAACCTGCTGTGCCTGGTGCTTTGCAGGCATTGTGTGCTTCAATCCTTAATCTTTCACCCTGGAGAGAGTTCAGTTCTGTAAGTGTGACTGATTCTACCATTCCCAGGGGGTCGATTACCCCCAGCCAGAGATTAAAACATACGTGCCATCTGAACACTGTTCTTCCGCCAGTTTTGTCTAAGACTGGATGTGAAGGGGAGGTGTTTGCCTCCTCCCTGGCCAGGCATTTGCCTGTGCACGGCCCTTTCAGGTACCTGCACAGCACCACGTTGGACAGGGGTCCTGGCATCCAGTGGATGGAGAGCTGCTGGGGTAAGGGCTGCCAGGTAAGATGACAAGTTGTATCTATCTCAACAGCAGCATAGATGATGCTGTCCATGAGCCTTAGTGGACCAATGCTGGCTGGAAACCAGGGAGAAACAAGAGATGTAGGCTCCAGCCCCTGGAATCAGAGCTTCTGCCCTGGCCCCAGCACAGAGTGAGCCAGAGCCTGCCCTTCCCTGAAAGCCTGCCCAGTTACCGTAGAGGAGTTTGGGTTGGAAGGGACCTTTGGAGGCCATCTAGTTCACCGCG